TGCACAACACGGGTACCCGTGTCAGATCCCCTATACTGATAAAAATAAAACGTGCGTTTTTCTGGACGTGCTGCACAACACGGGCCGTGTTGCACAACACGGGTGCCCGTGTTGCTCTGCTGTGATGATTTTCTGAATTTTTGGTTTCAGTGTTTTGATGTTGGATTTTTATTGCCATGCTTTTAGATATGTTATCGAGCATGAATTATGATATAATTGATGTGATTGGTTGATGTTTGAATAGTATGCTGAGTGATTACATGCTATTCGTAATTTGATATGATTGACGTTTAAATAGTATGCTGAGTGGTTACATGCTATTCATATCATGTTATGTTTGATATTGTTGATGTGCATGATATGTTGATCGATGTTCATAGTATGCTGAGTGTTACATACTTACATATCATGTTGCATTTGTTAATTCCCATTGTGTGGAATTAACATGGTGGCCAATATACGTGTCCGCGATTTAATGGAACGTTGAGGTGGTAGCCGTGTCCGCGATATAATGGAACGGTGAGTTATCCGTGACCCGCGATTTAATGGGGCGGTGAAGTGGTACCACATGCATGGGTGTGTTGCATTACTCGAATATAACATGAATGGATGATTTTTCCAATGTTATATTTGATTGTTTGTATGCACGTATGATTTGATAAATGGTTGATGATGTTTGAGGATTATTTGCAAAAATGAAAGGCAATATGTCATGGATATATGAATTGTAAAGGTTTTGTAAACTATGAAATATGCTAATTATTGGGTGATGCTTATGATTTCGTGAATTGATTGTTATGAATGTATAACCAAATGTATATTTGAGAAGCTCACCCTTACTGTTGAATATTTCAGATTGAGGAGCTTCGCTCAGGTGCTTGGCGAAGGCTTATCGTGTCTAGTTTAGTTTTGTTCTAGTATGTCCGTGTCATGCTCTGATAGTTGTAACTCCGGGAACGTTTGGTTGTCGAGCTGCTTTAGTCAGACTCGTTTATTCCTTTTATTGTTATAATATGACGTTGACTTTCCAGGTGTTAACCCCTGATGACTTTGAAAAATATTATAACATTTGATTTTATTAATTAAAGTATTCCGCTGTGTAAACATGTATGAGTTACTACTAAAATTATGCATGACAGGAATTTGTTTTATTAAAAAGAGAATTGTAGCATCCTCGATTATACATGTACTCTGAGTTTATAATTTTAACTGATTGCGAAAATTTCATTCGGGGTTTTTAGAGGGTGTTACACCCAACACAACCACTATTTACCCCAAGCCAACAATACCATCAACAAAACCCTTCTTCTAACCCCACCCAATGGGGCACCCAACAACAAAACCCTTCATCTAACACCACCCATTGGGGCACCCACCAACAATATCCTTCCTCTAACCCCACCCAATGGGGCACCCAACAACAATATCCTTCCTCTAACCCCATCCAATGGGGCACCCAACAAACCCCACAAAATCCCAACTATCAAACACCCCAACAACAAATGTCTATTCCCCGACCACAACAATTTACCTCCCAAGATTGTTACCAACCCTCAATAAATAGCCCAATGTCTTCTAATCCCATACCAAATTGGAATTGGGAGGGAACCAAATTAAGTTATGGCAGTGCAGCCGAGACAGACTTTACCAATGAGGACATGATTGAGGAATTTTTAATGGGCGGCTGTGACGCGGGACCTTCAACTTCAACTCAACCACAAAATGAAGAAGGAAATCGCAGAACAGGCCAACGTACTAGACGAGCACCTGCTTGTGGAACTCACCAACGATTGACACGACCCGATCAAAATCGACAGTAGATGTGATGGGGAGATTATATATGTTAAAATGCAAAAAATTAATTTATGTCCTTTAGTTAAATTTTTGTTTATTTATAGTATATTTTGTTTAATTAAAGTGTATTTCATTTAATTTAAAATGTATATTATTTAATTATATGAATTTAATTTATGATGTATATTATTTAATTATATTAATTTAATTTATAATGTATATTATTTAATTATATGAATTTAATTTAAAATGTATATTATTTAATTATATTAATTTAATTTATGATGTATATTATTTAATTATATGAATTTAATTTATAATGTATATTATTTAATTATATGAATTTAATTTATAATGTATATTATTTAATTATATGAATTTAATTTAAAATGTATATTATTTAATTATATGAATTTAATTTATGATGTATATTATTTAATTATATGAATTTAATTTATAATGTATATTATTTAATTATATGAATTTAATTTATGATGTATATTATTTAATTATATGAATTTAATTTATGATGTATATTATTTAATTATATGAATTTAATTTATGATGTATATTATTTAATTATATGAATTTAATTTATGACGTATATTATTTAATTATATGAATTTAATTTATGACGTATATTATTTAATTATATGAATTTAATTTATGACGTATATTATTTAATTATATGAATTTAATTTATGACGTATATTATTTAATTATATGAATTTAATTTATGACGTATATTATTTAATTATATGAATTAAATTTATAATGTATATTATTTAATTATATGAATTTAATTTATAATGTATATTATTTAATTATATGAATTTAATTTATAATGTATATTATTTAATTATATGAATTTAATTTAAATGTATATTATTTAATTATAATGTATATTATATGAATTCAATTTACAGAATAAAAAAAATACGTTTTGAACACATCCGCCCATCTAATGGGCGAAGCCTCTCTTTTTTTATAAGCATCCGCCCAATGCAGATGCGGAGACCAAGGCAAATACACTCTTCCGCCCATTGTATTGGCGGATGAGTTGTGGCAAAAACGTGAATTATTTAAAAAGAGAGTATATTGAGATATATGAATGTGTGAGAAGGTATATTGGAATTTAAATGCTAAAAAGAGGGTATGTTGATAAAAAATTCAAAATTTCTTATCAAATTCACTTGCTACAAACATCTATTTAAAATTGTTTATCAAATAGTAAAAAGTTTAGTTATCGTGCAGTTTCCCAAGTCGGCAAGTCTCGGTTGTTCTCTTATTTTCTCCTTGCAAAAATCTAAAATCTCAAATGTCCAACTGGCCTATTTTATGACCACGAAAACTGCTTACAAAGGCCTTAAAGATTCTATTATACTATTTTTAGCATTTTCCTTGCTATTATTAGTTTATTTCGCGCCTCTTTCCTTTTCCATTATTTGAGTTTGATGAAAACTCGACTTTACCCTTCTACTAAGTATTTTAAAATGTAAATAATACTAATAATACTAGTATTTTATATTTTGTGAGTTATAATCTAACACTTTGAGTTTGAACCTTTTTACTATCACTTTAGAAGACTTTTAAATAGACACAAATATAATACGTAATTTTATAAATAATTAATTATGATTTTTATTAATTAAAAATAAAAATAATGTTTTTTTTATTATCATAACTATCTTAGAATTTTAATTAAAATTAAATTTAAAAATTAAATAAATTTTAATTTTTTCTCTCTTTATTAACAATTTTATTAATATATATTTTTTAGTAAATAAACTTTTTTATATTATAATTAACTGATAGCATAATTTTACATTGATGATAAATATAAATTAAATTCTTAAATTATTGTAATTGTAAGATACAATTATTTGACTATAATATTGTCTCAAGAATGCATTTACTAACAGTAACTAATAGTTGATAGCTAATAATTGATAACTTATATTTGATAGCTAATAATTGATCATAGTAATTTATAGCTGATGATTGATATTGTAATTGATAAGTTAACATGAGTGTTTAATAAAAGTATAAATCCTCCTCCGTGAGATTTACTAGAGGCACTAATGTGCAATCTCCACCATTCAATTTTACTTTAAATGATTTTAATAATATAAACTGAAAAAATTAAATGGCCTGAATTTCACTGAAACAATTTTTTTACTAGAGAGAATTACTTTTTGTTTGATATAAAATGATATAAAAGAATATTTTAATAAAAATCGACGATTCATTATCTTATTATATTATATTTTAAATTAATATTTATTCAATAAAAATAAATATATTAATAAAACATATAAAATAATTTTAATATATATAAAATAATTTTAATATATATATAAAAAAAATTAAAATAGCATCAAAATATGTTAAATTTGTTTATGAATTTTATAATAAAATTTAACGAAAATATATGAAATAATAACATATAAGTTTGAATTCAATTATATATGAAATAATAATAATAAATTTAGTATATAATATTTTACTTTAAAATTATAATGATATTTTAAATTTTTTCCATTTTGATTGATTTCATTGATTCTCTTATAACGTTTCGCTAACTTGAGAATATCAATATTATTTTGAAATTCATTATATAATTTAATACATTCAAAGATAATAATATATTTTTAATAAAATAATAAGAATATAAATAGGAGAAAAAATCACAAACTAAAAACTAAAAATTTAAAAGTAACTTCAAATAACTTTTAAAAAAAATTTAAAAACTAAAAGATAAAATACAGTTATCAAACAGAGTTTTCTTATTAACATAAACTGAAAAAAACTAAAAATTAAAATAAAAAAAACTCTATTTCAAAATCTGGTCTTTTTCAAAAGTCTTTAACTAAATTAACTTCAATATTCAATAATTTCACACTTACTTATATGAAAGAAAAAAAGTTCAAAACTTTTGTTATGTAGATTAACGGATTAAAAGAAAGGACAAGTTTGTCTTTCGATTCTAAGAACACACTCCTTTCGTTTCGCAACAACGTTTTCGTACGCCTCTGAATCCTCAAAAGATATCTCATTTGGTTTTCTTTACGACAAACAAATCTCAACCGTAGGTAATCGCGTCTTGTTGGAATCTTACAAACCCACCGCTTCTCTGTTCCTCTCTCTCAAGTCTCACCTCCATAAAATCCCCGTTTTCTCTCTCTTCACTCTCACAACAAAAAAAAATGGCGTGTCTCTCTCACCTCAACCAGCTTCTCCACATCACCACCCTCCCCGTCACACCTTCGATCTCTCCGCCAACCACTACCGTCGGATTCCGAAGCAAACAGTTCGGAAGACCTGTTGTGTTGGCAGATGTTTCGAGGCGGATGGTTTATGTTCGGTCTAACACGAGCGACGATGAGTGGGGGGAAGAGAAGAAAGTGCCTTCTCCGGCTGTGGCGGTTGGGGAGGTGAAATTGGCGGATAGTGAGACGGAGAAGGTGAAGAAGGCTTTGGTTGGTTCGTTTTATGGGACAGATCGTGGGTTGAAGGCGACGAGTGAAACGAGAGCAGAGATTGTTGAGCTTATTACTCAGCTTGAGGCCAAGAATCCGACTCCTGCTTCTAATGATGCTTTGACTCTGCTTAACGGAAAATGGATTCTCGCGTAAGTTAGTTTGTTTTACTATTTGATTTGATTTTTGTGTGTGTTTTTAGCTATGAAACATATTGTCTACAAAATAATAACTCAATCAGAATTAGCTTATGATAGTGCTAGTGAACAGTTAACAATAATGGCAGTGTTATAGTTGGTGTTCTGCTGCTAACAAACTTATGGTTGGATTTGTGATTCCGCAGGTATACATCCTTTGCAGGTTTATTTCCGTTGTTGTCGAGTGGACTACTACCATTGCTCAAGGTTGAAGAAATATCTCAGACTATTGACTCTGAAAGTTTAACTGTCCAAAACTCTGTTCAGTTTGCCGGTCCATTGACAACCACCTCCATTAGTACCAACGCCAAATTCGAAATTCGAAGTCCAAATCGTTTGCAGGTTTGTTCTTCCTCTTTCTTCTCTATTATTCCCTCTAATCCTTAATATAAAAAATAATCAATATATTTGGTCTATATATAGTCCAAACACAAATACATTCATAATTCAATGAATCTAGAGAGTATATTTTTTCTTATATTAATGTGAAATTTAAGCTATTGGTGTCATCTTGTATGTTATTTTTAGATCAAGTTTGAGGAAGGTATCATAGGCACTCCACAGCTGACAGACTCATTAGAGATACCAGAAAATGTGGAATTCTTGGGGCAAAAAATTGATCTATCACCATTCAAAGGCATACTTACTTCTGTCCAAAGCACTGCTTCATCAGTTGTGCAAACAATTTCCAATCAGCCTCCACTGAAGATTCCAATTTCCAACAGCAAAGCTCAATCTTGGTTGCTTACTACATACCTTGATGAAGAGCTGCGTATCTCAAGAGGTGATGGTGGCAGTGTGTTTGTTCTTATCAAAGAAGGTAGTTCTCTTTTGACAAACTAAAGAAATTATATTGGTCATTGTATATGTAATAATTTCCAGTTGTTCGGTTGTTCTTATATATTCATAATAAGCAACACTGGATTAGATACAAATGTATTATAGTACTTGATAAAAGAGTATGTTCGGTTGTCTTCAAATGAATTATGTACAAGAACATACACCAACCAAAGTTATTGTTCTATGTCATAAAGTGTGCTTAGTCTGATATAACATTAACTTTGAAAATAGTATGATACTTTTCTTCATATCAACCTGTTTTGTAACATACACCATCCCAACCGTATGTATTCTTTCATAAAACTCATAACTTACTTTGAATATAACTAACTTTGCCAATGTTATGATATTTTACTTCAAATTCAATCTGTTTTGTAACATAGCTAGATGTGTTAATGTATGAACCATGCCCAATCTACTTATATGAGCTGCTCTGTCCAGCCATTCCGCACAACAGAACTAGAGTCCATGTACCAGCTCAATTAATACCCCTACCAAGAGGTTTACTAATTCAATTGCCCTAAGAGTCAGCTACGAAAGTTAAACACATAAAAAAGAAATGATCAAATGTGTCTTTCAATCACATCATTCAAATCTTCTGCCTTCTATACTTTTGTTGGCATTTTATCTACCTATGCATGTAAGGATGAAATCCAAGTGTCTATGACTTCATCAACCTATGATGATACAATTGCATCAAATCTTTTGCTATGTTGTTAACTTTAATCTCTCTACATGATCAATATGGTGTATAAAAATGACCTCTTAATTACAATTTGTTAGTTTTATTAAAGATTTTGTGTTTTTCTTTATAAGCAAGTTTATTGATAGGGAGCATTAGGGGTACTCAAATCCGCTTATAAAAGAGTTGAGAAAAGTCTTGGAAACTAGAGAAAAACCCAACCAACTGAAAACTAACACAGAAAATACAAAAGATCTTTGTAAAATTCATAAAATTGTACTTGGAATAAGAAAATTCTCCTAAAAAAATCTACTTCCACGCCTTCAACTTAATATTCCAAATAAGATCGGAAAAAATACATTTACCTCTATTGAAGACTATATCATTCCTCTTATCCCAAATTCCACCTGCCACTGCCAACCAAATAAGGCCCTTCTTCTTTGCTATTATTTCTTTGTTCCCGATACTCAAAGACCAACTCAAAAAATTCTTCCAAGAAATATCTTCTAAGCTTCTAGAACACCCTAACCAACTTGCCACCTCCGACCATACCGCCTTGGAAATAACACAATTATACAAGAGGTGTTCTAAAGTTTCATCCTCCATCGAGCAAAAAGAGCAAAGAGAATTATTATTATTAAATATCATACCTCTTTTCTTCAAAAGATCACGCATTGCAAATGATTGAGAAAACATCTTCATCCAAATGATTTAACTCTAAATGGGACAGTCGTACACCACAGCAACCGCAAAGCCTTCCGAAAATTTTCATCAATTATCTGCCCAACATTAATCCGGGAAGAAATATCTTCTAAGCTTCTAGAACACCCTAACCAACTTGCCACCTCCGACCATACCGCCTTGGAAATAACACAATTATACAAGAGGTGTTCTAAAGTTTCATCCTCCATCGAGCAAAAAGAGCAAAGAGAATTATTATTATTAAATATCATACCTCTTTTCTTCAAAAGATCACGCATTGCAAATGATTGAGAAAACATATTCATCCAAATGATTTAACTCTAAATGGGACAGTCGTACACCACAGCAACCGCAAAGCCTTCCGAAAATTTTCATCAATTATCTGCCCAACATTAATCCGGGAAATCGCACTAAAACCAGAACTAGTGGAATAACCTCCTTCGGGATCCAAAAACCACATAAAAGAGTCGGTGAAATCCACCACATGTGCTACCACGACCAACAGACCCAATTCGGCCAATCTACTCAGCATAAGCTGATTCGCGCCAGTAGCCACATCGAAACTGCTCCAGCGCCAAAACGACCCTCCCACCTACTCGGCTCTGCAATGGAAGCAAACTTAAGATTTCTTAGAAGATACAAGTCCGGAAATATATCTTTTATACCATTAGAGTCACACCAAGACATTCCCCAAAATGAATTTTCCACTCCAGTACCCAAAGTGTTCCAACATTATTAGTAAAAATAGGAATTGAAAGTCTACTCTCCACCTTAGTCAAATCATTCCACCAAGTCGATGCAACACAAGAAAAACCATGAACACGCGGATACAAAAATTGAGGAATTAGAGAACCGTACCTAGCCTCCAGCACGTCTCTCCATAAAGACCCTTCCTCCTTGAGAATTCCCCACCTCCATTTAAGAAGCAAAGCCACATTAAAATCATCAATCTTCTTCAAACCTAAACCACCCAAATCCATAAGTTTACAAACTTGTTCCCAACCCACCCAATATATCTTTCTTTTACCTCCCAATTTATCCCACAAAAAACTATTTTGGATTTTCGAGATTTCATTGCAAATCTTAACCGGAGCCCTATGAAGGAAAACTTGAAAATAGAGATGCTGGACAAAACTGATTTAAGAAGCGTAATTCTTCCCCTGAGACTAAGAAATCTCCCTTTCCAATTCTCAAGCCGAGACTTCAACTTTTTAACAAGAGGAGACCACGTCGAAATTCTTCCCGGGATGCAACCGATAGGAATTCCAAGGAAAGTGAAAGCTTTTTTTTCTAACCTGCAAGATAAAAAAATTAGAATTCATCCCCAGAAAATGGGGACTAATGTTAATACTGATGAGCCTACTTTTGAGAAAGTTGACTCTTAATCCGGAAACTATCTCAAAACCCCTCAACACCGCTTTAAGGGACCAAACTTGCTTCAAACTACCTTCTCTGATCAGCAAAGTATCATCCGCAAACTGAAGGATATCAACACTTCACTTATCCTCCACCGAAAATCCGACCAACTCCCAAACTTCAATCGTCTTTTTAACTAAAGTTGTTAATCCTTCAGCAACACAAAAAGAAAAGGTGACAAAGGATCCCCTTTTCTAAGGCTCCCTCTTCACTAAAAATTCCTTTGTCATACTACCATTAACCAACAGCGACATAAAACTCGTGAAAACTATAGCTTCCATCCATAAAACCCAAGCCATCCCAAAACCAATCATTTCCATCATATATTTGAGAAAATTCCAACTTACCTTATCGTAATCATTTTCAAAGTCAACTTTGAAAAGCAAACAATCCTTCTTGATCTTTGTTGCATAATCCACCACCTCATTAGCAACGAGTACCTCGTCCATCAACTGCCTACCTGTCACGAAAGCACTTTGACTCTTAGAAATTGTAGAACTCAAAACCCTTTTAAGTCGAGCCGCCAAGAGCTTAGATAAAGCTTTGTATAAGCACCCCCTTTTGGCACTAAAGTCAAAAAAGAAAAAGTGATGATTTTAGATAAAAACTACCATGAAATTCCACAAAGAAGCAGATAATATAAAACTTCATAAAGCTTCAATATTTTCTAAAATAAAAATTATATCCATCCAGCTCTGGGCTCTTAGATCCTTCACACCCCCACATCGCTTCTTTTATCTCCAACTCTGAAAAATGAGTCTTCTAAAGAACCTCTATCATCCTATGAAAGCACGGAGAAAGGAATACCATCCAAAGTTGGATGATTCCTATCCGAATCCAAGAACTTCTCCAAAAAATGCCTCTTAACTTCCTCATTTACCTCCCCAACCTCCTCCAAAATCCATCTACTAGTGACTATAGAACCAATAAAACTATTCCTCCTCCTCTCTTTCATAACACTATGGAAATACCTAGTGTTCATGTCTCCTTCTGAATCCCACTTAAGCCTAGACTTCTGGAGGATCACGTTCTCTTTAAGCTTTAATTGATTCCACCTATTGCTAATAGCTAAACTACGAGCGGCCATCACCTCATCCACAACACTCCCTCTTCAACTCTCCAATAAAAGATCTGCTTCATTAATATTCCAAACTACCCCGTCAACCTCCAAGTAAATCCTTCCAAAAACTTCCTTGTTCCACTTATTAAGACTACTTTTAAGTAATCTTAATTTCTCTTTGATAACGAAGTCACTTCTACCTTCTACTTTAAGCTTGTCCCATTTTCTTTTCAACAAAAGGAACAAAATCCTTATTATCAAACCAAATGTTATTCACCTTAAATGGCTTTGAACCCTAATCCACTTGATTAACCATAATCCAAATAGAACAATGATCCGAAATATCCATATCTCTTACCAACTGACCAACAACTCCCTATTTAGAAATCTGAGTACCCGAAAGAAGGAACCTATCAATTGTCTCATAGCTTTCCCTTCTCCACAAAACCAAGTAAACCTCTTCCCTTTACACGGAACATCAATAAGCTCGAAATTATCAATGAAAGATGTAAACTCCCTCATTTCTGAATTATGTCTAGCTAAGGAACTCACCTTCCTTTCTCTAACATTAAGCGTAACATTAAAATCTCCGCTCATACACCACTTCCCATCCCTACTCTTTAATTTACAAACCAAATATCATTTCATAACTTCCTTTTATGGTTGAGCGCACAAGGAGAGTAAACATCAACAACGTAATAAAGACTTCCCCTCCATAAAAGCTTAATCCCAAGAAAATCTCCACCCTTAAAACTAGATAACACCTCACAACTATCCTCCTTCCACATAATCAACAAATCACTTGACGCCCCTTCAGAACTCGAATATGACCATCCTACTTTCTCCTTTCCCCTCAAACTACCTACCACCCGAGAATCAACTACGGATAACTTAATTTCTTGAATAAGAAAAATACCAGCCTTACCTTGATTGATAATTTAACAAATACGCTTCCTTTTCGCATTACAACCTCCTCTTCTATTGTTCAATGATCCGATAATCATTTCACAATATTAGATAACACCTTCGGTGCCTCCCTGATTTCCTTATATCTTCTTTCCATTTCGTTGATATTTTCCATGTAATCCTTCTCCTTACCATTCACCACAACCCCTAATTTAGAGATCACCTCCCACACCTTCA